TACAATTGCTGATTGGGTTTGTGAGATGGCCACTGATTTAAGAACAGAGTTGTGTGAAAGAAGCAAAGACTGTATTGCACACTCTCTTGCGGTGGATAAAAGTACAGACATGATGGACATTGCACAGCTGGCCATCTTTATCTGTGGAGTGGACTCCAATTTGTACGTTACAGAGGACATATTGGACATTAAATTGATGCACGGGACAACGACAGGAAAATACATTTTTGAAAACTTATGAGACAAAGCAGAAAGAGAAAGCGAGTCAAGGACAACAACAAGAGACAACATCGTCACATTGGAAAGGTATAGGATAGTAATCATCCACAATTATTTTCAGTTGCGGATGATAAAGAATTCAGAAAGTTTATTCATGCAGAAAATCCTATGTATGCAATTCCAAGCAGGAAAACACTCTCTCCAAAAATCATCCCAGGCCTATATGACAGACAATGTGCATCTTCTTTCAATTTTGCATATTTTAATTTATATTTATTGTGTTGTGGTTTGCAGTGTTTTGTGTTGTTTTGCTTTAAATTTGTTTAAAAGAAAAAAAAAGCTGAAAATTGAAATAGTTAAAAGTTCTCTCTCTCTCTCTCTGATTGTCTTTAGACACTGTGACAACTGAAGAAACACAAAGTTTACAAGAAATGTTTTTGAGCTTATCAGAGTCTCTGATGTCAGTGTCCATAAACAGTCTTGAGCAAGCAGAACAGAAAAAATGCAAAATAATGGATATCACTGAAAGTGTCTTCTTATTACCAATGTAGAACACGTATGTAACATTATATAAACAATATACATGAAACCATACCGTGCGCCTCTTGGAACACATGCAGAAAAGCATTAACGTTGAGGTTGTAGATGCATCTGTAGCTCTGTATCCATGCTAGCTCCACAATGCCATGGTTGTGCTCTCAGCCAAACTCTGGTCATGTGACCATTACAAACTCTACCTCATACAAACTTTACAGCACTTTACATATTTAACAAACCCATATTTTGTAATCACATATTTTAGACATGTTTTTTAATCAGTGTTACACTTTTAAAATCTTATCCAATAAATAAAGGATACGATGATAATGAAAATGGAACAAAAAGGAGGGCGTGGCAGACAAGGTAAACAAGCACATTTCTTAGAGGAGGAGAATGTGGAGAGTGAGGAGGAAGGAGCTAAAATGGACCACATAAAGGCAAGTAGTGTGACTATGTATAATGTGCATCAGGAGATTAGTATCCTAAGGTCCTCCCTTAGCTTCAGACAGAAGCTAAAAGTAAATGGACACAATGTGACAACTGAAGTAGACACAGGCTGGGCTACACTGCCATGTTGAAGGAGTCATTTTAAAAACCCTTTGAAGGCAGTAATGCACCCAAAGTAAGCAAGTGTGGAATCAAACTGAGAATGTATGGAGGCCACAAGGTACCCATGTCCAGGGACAGACTGGGACTAAAAAACAGCCCTGGACTTTGACTGGGCCCGGACCAAAGTAATCGGCGTGTGGAAACTCGGCAACAATAATGCTTGGCATTAGTGTTACACAGTGTTGGGGAGTAACGGAATACATGTACCGCCGTTACGTATTTAAAATACAAAATATGAGTAACTGTATTCCGTTACAGTTACCGTTTAAAAAGGTGGTATT